AGGAAGACGAGAGAGCTACTACTTGACCAAATGACCTGCCGAGGACCTCGTGGGAGACCAAAAAGGGCCTAAGGTAAGTGCTTCGACGGGCTTCGCTCCGTATATGGGCCATTTTCTGCCGATGCTCACACGCTGGCACAAGATCGGGAACGTCGGAAACAGTCAGACGAGACTGACCTCAACGATCCAAAACGATAAGGATTACTGAAACTGATTGACAAGACAGGTAAAGTAATGCAAATCATCTGTCAAACTATTAACCTCAATTCCAAACAGAGTAACTCTACGATAGATGTCTAAATTGCTGGTTACTTGCGCAAATGTTTAGACTCGATGGAGCGCAGGGTTTCACTCAAAGAGCTGCCGCAAGTGTCAGATACGTGCAGATAAACGAGGCGAAACAATGCTTAAAGGAAACATGACCGATTCAAGATTCAGCAACGAAAAACCTCAGATATCGTAGAACAGAAAGCAATGAATGGCATGCAAAATATCAAGCTTGTTAGCATTGCAAGTAATAAATCGATTGATTTACTATTTTAAAGAAAGATAAACAACCTAACCTCCTTCAATGCCACTCTAAGGAAATTAAAATCACAACGGGGAGTGAACAAACTTGGCATGTCATCGCAAAGAGGAAAGGAGCAAAGAGGAGTTGGTAATCACTAAAACAGAAAATCGGCGTTAGACTTTCAGCCGGGTGGATTTTGATACATCCACTTGTTAATGATGAGGTTGTGGCACCGGTTACTGTTTCAATATCATCAGTCATCAAGGACAAGTCAATCATCAGCGACTGTACACTACAGGAACCGGAAAGACAAAACGTTTGGTTCCATGGTGTAAGAACGAGACAAACTGGGTCCACACATACAACAAAACATACCTTTAAGGGCGTACAGGTCAGTTTGTTTCATTATTCTATTATACTTGGCAGAAAACTGTCTTGTATTTTAAAGGAACGTTATACATAATCGTAATAATGTGTTTAATCTTTTGTGTAGTAACTTTAAAGTGACTATTTAACTTTGGATAGACTGATTGCTTCCCTCATTTATTCATATCATGATGCGGGTCACTGCTAGATGTATCATACGTCAGCCTCACATTAGCTCCCTTTAGCTTATTTTCGTGACTCTGTCGACGGATAAAAAGCTTCTTCTTTATGGTAACGTTCTCTCGTCAGTGATTCGGTAGAGACCTTACGAAGTAGAAGTTGGATAGCGCAATCGACATTAAATCCTCCCCTGATTGCTACCCTGAATAGTCAGCAATCAGGTGGATAAAGACAAAATGCAACCACAAGGATGCTCGCATCAGACAGCATCGCCGTAAGTCACCGACTTACTACCCGTCGCTCGGCAGGTTTACTTGCCACCCAGCAACGTAGCATTAATTCCTTGCTCAAGGGAATCCGCGGTACAGAGAAAGATTGTCAGTTGGGCGTATGCAACCTGTCAACTCCGGAGTTCAATGCTAACCTCGTAACCACTGGACCATCACCCTCCAATTACACGTTATAACTCAGTTCATAACGAGTAGTATTTCACTTATTTTCAAAGTCAGCTAATCCTTGCTGGTCAAGGTCGCCAGTCTGCTGTTTCAGGAGACCTTTACAATCATCGCAGACGGCCACCGGTTTGCTTCGCAGTAAATTATTCGCTTCGCCATACCCTCATTCGAGATCCGTTTATAAGAATACAACATGACCTGAAAGAAATGACCATCATTCTAAATGCTAATTAATAAACTGAGTCAGACGATCAGGATGGAACCATCTGCCTCTAGAATCTGATAAGCTCTTCGAGGCACCTTTGTATGATTCTGCGTGTGAATTGCAAAATGCCTGGGTGTCATAAGATGAATAACTGCACCACATGTATCAGAGTCACAGACTAACCTCACAGAAACGTATATTAGTTTCAGATGAAATAACGATAAGACATGCACATCTGTTACCTTAGAAAAAATAGTAACACTGACCATTAAATGACAGAATTTTACCAGTCTCTGTCGGGCACTCCTACTAACATACAACTAAAATACATAAGCGCCTCTACAATATTATTTCTCACAAAGTTCAGATTCAGTGTTCGCGTTGGGCGGGCAATTTTGACAACAACTGACCGCTTTAGTCGGATACGCTGGGAAATGGAAATTATTATCTCTATCAGCATATCAGCATAAAACTACACGTTCATTACAAATTAATAGCTCTGATGTACAAATACCTCCCAATCCTGAAAAGAAAATGTTACGTGTATGAAAGTGTGAAACAAAAGTTAGAACACCAAGAAAAACTGCTTACATATAAAAAGCCAATTGCACAGAATATATATTCATACATATCGGCATCCAAACCGAAAGGTACAGTCATCAGTTTATGATAAAAACTAAAAAGCACTTATGATATTCTGGGCTTCTTAATAGGCATATTCTCTTTTCCGGACATACACATGGCGTTAACCACACGTTTTGCGTCCATGCATTGCATGCCTTGTTGATTATCGCGTTTAGAGCAGGCGACGGTGTGGAATATTTTTGCAAAATGTCTTGTATATTTGTGTGTTTATTTGTTTCTGTGGTTTTGACACTCTTCCTGAACCAATATACATTTTCGAAAACAGTTTTCATATGTTTTTGTCCCCCAATAGCTTCAATGAAAGAAGATGAAAAACAGATGAAGATGCAGCCCTTGCGTGGAAAATTTGCAATTTCGCCACCCAGCAAAAATTTTCAGAATCGAAAATGAAAAAGATGGGAAATTACAGAGGTTGCAAGGTCGGTTGGCAGATGGTTGTGTAAAACACATTCGACTGCTGATTATATTATCCACCAACGGCTAATTAATCCTCGATATTACATCAACCAGGCTGCACGGTTTTTTTGCAAGCTAGCCCGTGTTGTAACATGCTTACAAGCCGATACTAGAAATAAATTTATCGATAGATGCGCCCAGAAAAATTTAACTCGCTAAGAACGTACGCCAGGATTTGTGGAGGCTAAAGTACTGAACAAATAACGCCATTTAATGCGGAGAAGCAATGTGTTTATTATATCAGAAAATTCTGCTAACATGCTCACCACATTTCTTTCCATATTGTTTCTGTTCCTAGCAGCGTTGATGTATACCGTTCCTTGCATCAAACCAGCAAAACACCAGAATGCGCATGACTCTTCTTGAATAATTGTCAGCAAAGGCGCCAACAAGTCAGACATGCCTTGAATGTAACCAATTTTCGGACAAAGAACAGCGTAGTTCAGAAGTATGTTACTAAATGCAAATACAACGCCATGAAGCGAACATAAGAATTGATTTGTTATACTGCAACGTTTCTAAGTTTTCCGTGGATTCGTAGAACGGGTGCTGCCTGTCTGTCCTCAGAACATCTTTCTCGATCGCTGATTCGATGCTCTGCCATGTCTGAGCATTTGCTTGCACCAAGCTGTTGCGCAGCCTGAAAGAGCAAAATTTAC